GTTGTTTATGAAGTTGATGAAAATATAGAAATTCCAAGGGCTCCTACTGCTGAAATGTTAGATTACCCAGGCAGAGCTTTAATTAGCGAAGATAAACGGCTCATAATTGATAATGCCCTTAAACAATTCAAGTTTAAGTAAGTACTCGAATTTATAACAATTTGCGAACTTGATTTTATACCAAATTGAGAACTTCATTTTATACTAATTTGTTATTTTTTTTTCTATACAGGAGTGATTCAATTTTCGAGTTTGAAAATATATCAATAAATAGAAGCCAATTGGATGAATTATTAATGTCGGAAGAGCTTGACAATAACCACATAGACGCTTTTTTACATTTATTAACGCAGAAGGAAGCAGCATTTCCTGGTCGTAATCAACCTTTTCTATTTGTTTCAAGCTTTCATTGGGTTAGTACTTAACATTATCTTATTTATTGGTTTAACTATATGTTCGAACTAATCACTATACTTCTTCTATTTTTTTAACCAGCTATACTACAAACAATACAATGATTCGAACACAAAAACGTTCGTATCTAATATAGACAAAACCATTATCAGGAATATAAATTTGATCTTTGTTCCAATAATATACGGAGAACATTGGACACTACTACTTTGCAACTTGTTGAAAAAACGGTGGGAGTTTTATGATTCTTTACCGAAGAAGACACATAAAGCGATACTCCCAGAAGTTGTAAGTAATAACAAATTTTTTTGTTATCATTTCGACTTTTATCAATATTCCATGTTAATTTGAATTTGGTTATCCAGATTTCTCATTTCTACAAAGATACGGACGACGCCTTCGACATTGATGTAACGAAATGGCCAATCAAAGGATTTCGAAACGTGCCAACACAAAATAACAGCGTTGATTGCGGAATGTATCTTTGTAAATATATTGAAGTTCTAATACAAAAAGAACCAATTAAATGGTACAGATATTTGGACTGGCATTCTAATATGCCATTGTATAGGGCTGAATTTGCTTATGACTTGCTATGTACTAAAATTCAGTAGATTATGAGAGAAATGTACAACCTTGTTTACATTGTGAAATGTTTTCTTAAACAAAATGGTGCCAAGTACTTTAAAATGGGAGTAATACAGTGCAATAGCCATCTCGGTATTGCTCGGTACAGATCGGTGTTGATCAGTACCTATTAGAATTACCAAAAGGTATGCTCGGATCTGCTCGGTATTGTTTGGTATTGATCTGTACCGAGCATAATTACTATTAGTTATGCTCGGTACTGCTCGGTACTTCTTGGTATTGATCTGTACCGAGCAGAGGTCATAATAGTTATGCTCGGATCTGCTCGGTATTGTTCGGTATCGATCTGTACCGAGCATAATTACTATTAGTTTTGCTCGATACTGCACGGTACTGCTCGGTATTTATCTGTACCGAGCAGAACTTCTTAATAGTTTTGATTGGTACTGCTTGGACCTGTTGGGT